TGAGTTTTTGGGTCCCCCTATAGTCCTGCACAGCCAGGTAACACACATTTCCTTCCACACTTGCACACTGGAAACAGTAAACAGTCCTCATGCTTGTTTTTGTAGTATTATTAAGGGGTATTGAACTTGGATGGGGTTGAGGGGTGGATGGGATGCCCAAGGAAACTGTAAACACGAGGACAATCTCCTTAGCAACTATGTACAAGTCCATAGACAAAAAGGTTTCTTCTTGGAAGAGCTCTCCAGCCCTCCTGGTGTACCACCTTAGACCCCAGATGAATCCTTCTCTTCACCCAGCTGCATGAGGGAATCCCTGGGTAAGGGGACCCAGAAATGGCCACTTTAGTAAAGCAGCCCCAGATGAGGAGCTAGTTGGGTTTGACACCTGACTGCCCTCTCCCCTTATTTGGCCCAGGGAGTGTAGGATTACTCACTCAGTCCTCTCCTGTGAGCTTAATGGGTTCATGGATGCCTTCAGGCCTTACGCTGGGCTGGCTCCTTCCCTGCTCCACAGGTGGTCCCTCTTTCAGGGGCCAGTTGATGCTGAGAGATCCTCCTTTCCAGCTCCTGCCTGCAGGTAGGCCCATCTCCTGGGTCCCCTCCCAGGCTCCACACTCCAGCCTTCACTTCATCATCCACCTGACACTACTCCCTCCTGATCACGCTCTCCATTCCCATACATAAGGGCTGTCCTGAGTCCCTTAAATATGCAAATAAAGCCCCCACCCGCTGCCTTCTAGACGCTTTCTGTTTTTCATTTTGATAGCCCTGACTTTTTCACATTTTCACTTTTTTAACTATGTGTAAATATTAAATGCACTGAAATGTCACCACTCTGTAAATGAATTTGATCAGCTTTGCTTAAATTGACATTAAAGGTTTTTTTCTCTTCCTTAAAAATGACACGTGTTACACTTACCTGCTCTGTGCAGTGGTTTTGCACAGAGCAGCCCCAATCCTCCTCTTCTTGGATACTCTGTTGGCACTACAGGCCCCACCCTCCTGTCTAGGGGCTTGCTATGGGGGCACCTGAGCAGATTCACTATCGAGCCACTGTTCTGTGTGTCCATTCACACATAGAGCATTACTCAGCTCTGCCCCCTGCTCTCTCCTCATTGGCTCACTGGCTGTGATTGACATTAGTGGGAGCCAATGGCTATCACTGTTGTCTCAGCCAATGAGGAGGGATAGACCCGGGAGAGTGGAGGATCAAGATGGGGCTCAGTGTAAATTTTAGGGGTTCTGACGAAGTCTGCGGTGATTGGCGGACGAAACGCGTCAACGTATTGACGTCACTACGCTCGGGCGTCTTCACTGGGTGCGGCGCCCACGAGGCGGGAAGGAACGGCGGTGTCACAGCTCCCTGCTAGGAAGGCCCTAGACCCTCTGAGAACTACCATAAGGCTACTATTACAGCGGTTCGCAAACGGCAATCCCTCAGGGAAACATACCTTCCACCGGTGGCAAGTTATTTAAGCTTACGGCTGTTTGAGATTTATAGAGCATATATGGTGTTAAAAGGGCATGATATATGGGCCTAATTTACCCTGTATACTCGGGGAATTTTTTGGAAATCCTCTTTGGAGGACAATCTACACATATATATATATTATATACGCTATTCTATTTAGGCATTGTATGCTGTGACATAGCCATTTCCTCATGAAACCGCAATAACTTTCTCAAATTGAGTAATTTTTGGAAACCCTTCATTGGGTATATAGACTCAGGTATCTGCGGCCTGCTAAATGCTACATACACATCATATCTGTTTGGAATCTACGTACTGTGACTACCTGGCTCCTCATCCCCATATGCACCTTTGTATAAGCATCAGGGACCTGATCCTATTTCAAGTCGACAGGAGTCTTCTTGATCTCTATTGATGGTAATATACCCACATTTTGTGTGTGTTCTGTTTTCAGGGTTACCTGATGCCTATGATCTATATATTTATTATTATTTTTCCATATATATCCTCAGAATCATTTGGTACTGTGGATCTTGTTTCACTTGGGGTGGCTATACAGGAAGTCCCCTACATTCGAGAAGCGGGTCTGATAGTCTCACTATTGAGAAGGTAATAGTAGTATCCATTGACTACTGTAGAGGGAGGCCCCATTAACACAACTGGTGAACTTTGGATGTGTTTTGGTTTTCATATTTCTATACACATACTATGTATTTTTGTGTTCAGCTTTTTACATACCAGGAGGGGTGTTCCCTGAGATATATTGGGAAATACATCTGTTGAATACATGGTTCACTTTAATAGAAGCTGGAAACCCATGGAAACCCAGGATAACTATCTTAAAAAACCTTGATTTACACAACTCTGCCTTGTATGGTACTCTATTTGCTAAAGATGACCCTAAAAATTGAAGACGCCAAGTGCTTTTTAAATATGATGATTTTATCTTTTTCATGTGCATGTACACCGTGCTCATGTTTAACCTCCTTATGATCTATGTGATCAAATAAAGTATTGTTTGAAATTCTTTTGAATTTAATATTACTCCGCGTGGACTCATTTAGTAACCTTCTTTTTTCAGGTAGGGGTGTTCTTGTCACACTACCATATTGCTTAGTATGTACCTTTTGGGTTTATGAATCCACACTTATATAAGTGGTAGTCGGAGATATGCCAATGACACCAGGTATATTCGTGTCATTTTGGGTGGCTTGTTTTTTCATTGCTTTATTGTTTTGAAATTTTAGGGGGGGGCTGAGGGAGCGCTGCTGAACACAGCAGGTTTTTTAGTACCTTTATGACATAGATTGCATGAAGGTAAAAAACCTTGAGCTTTTACAACCACTTTAAATTTGTAAGCTGCTGTGGGTAAATTGCTATTCTAAGTTTCACCGCAGTTTGATAATATTTAAAGATAACCCAGTAAAAATTTATTGTGAAGATACATTTTTAGCTCCTGTCTGAGTTATAAATAAAGGATTTTGTCTTCTCTCAAAATGATGAACATAATATGAAGCTAGAGAAGATACTTTGACTCTTAACTAATGTGCAGACAGCAGGAGGGCAAGAGTCTCTATCACTTTGCAGTAGCCCTACAGAATTAGAGAGGAGGAGACTGTGAGCCAGACCTTCTCATCCAACATCAATGCCTGACCTCACAAATGCACTTTTGGAAGAATGGTCAAACATTCCCATAGATACCCTTCTAAACCTAGTGGACAGCCTTCCCAGAAGAGTTGGAGCTGTTATAGCTGCAAAGGATGGACCAACTCAATATTGAACCCTACGGACTAAGACTGGGATGCCATTAAAGCATTAAAGGTCATGTGCATGTAAAGGTGTCCCAATACTTTTGGCAATATAGTGTATATGTACAGTGTGTATGTATATATATGTATATATATATATATATATATATATATACAGTGGGGATCGAAAGTTTGGGCACCCCAGCTAAAAAGTTGTATTAATGTGCATAAAGAAGCCAAGGAAAGATGGAAAAATCTCCTAAAGGCATCAAATTACAGATTAGACATTCTTATAATATGTCAACAAAAGTTAGATTTTATTTCCATCATTTACACTTTCAAAATAACAGAAAACAAAAAAATGGCATCTGCAAAAGTTTGGGCACCCTGCAGAGTTAATATCTTGTACTGCCCCCTTTGGCAAGTATCACAGCTTGTAAACGCTTTTTGTAGCCAGCCAAGAGTCTTTCAATTCTTGTTTGAGGTATCTTTGCCCATTCTTTCTTACAAAAGTCTTCCAGTTCTTTTAGATTTCTGGGCTGTCTGTCACGCACTGCTCTTTTAAGGTCTATCCATAGATTTTCAATTATGTTGAGGTCAGGAGATTGTGAAGGCCATGGCAAAACCTTCAGTTTACGCCTCTTGATGTAATCCCCTGTGGATTTCAAGGTGTGTTTAGGATCCTCTCTTTAACTTCAGCTTTTTCACAGATGGCATCAAGTTACCATCCAAAATTTGCTGAAATTTTATTGAATCCATTTTTCCTTCTACTCATGAGATGTTCCCTGTGCCACTGGCTGCAACACAACCCCAAAGCATGATTGATCCAACCCCATGCTTAACAGTTGGACAGAGGTTCTTTTCATTAAATTCTGTGCCCCTTCTTCTCCAAACGTACCTTTGCTCATTCCGGCCAAAAAGTTCAATTTTAACCTCATCGGTCCACAGAACTTGTTTCCAAAATGCATCAGGCTTGTCTATATGTTGATTTGCAAAGTTCAAACGATGATTTTTGTGGTGAGGACGTAGAAGAGGTTTTCTTCTGATGACTCTTCCATGAAGACCATATTTGTACAAGTATCTCTTTATAGTGGAATAGTGTACCACAACTCCAGTGTCTGCCAGATCTTTCTGGAGGGATCGTACAGTCAAACGTGGGTTTTGAATTGTTTTTTCTCACAATCCTGCGAGCTGTTCTGTCTGATATTTTTCTTGGTCTTCCAGATGTTGCTTTAACTTCCACTGTTCCTGATGACTGCCATTTCTTAATTACATTCCGAACAGAGGATATTGACATCTGAAAACGCTTTGCTATCTTCTTATAGCCTTCTCCACCTTTGTGAGCGTCAACTATTTTCAGTTTCAGTTTTCTAGACAACTGCTTAGAAGAACTCATGGTGCTGATTGGGCAAGGTCAGATGAGTCTGGGCATTTAAAACCTTTGAGATTGACATAACCTGGTCTTGTCCAGATGATGATTGAGAACAATCCATGACACTGGCAGGTCTCAGCTTTACAAAGGGGGCAGTGCATGCTATAAATTCTGCAGGGTGCCCAAACTTTTGCAGACGCCATTTTTTTGTTTTCTGTTATTTTGAAAGTGTAAATGATGGAAATAAAATCTAACTTTTGTTGACATAATATAAGAATGTCTAATCTGTAATTTGATTCCTTTTGGAGATTTTTCCATCTTTCCTTGGCTTCTTTATGCACATTAATACAAATTTTTAGCTGGGTAGCCCAAACTTTCGATCCCCACTGTATATATATATATATATATACAGGGGAGGACTGACCATTTGGAAACTCAGGCACTGCCCGAGGGCCCGGGGTCAGTAGGGGGCCCCATGAGATGCCCCTGGTACCTTTTTCATAGGCTCTTTTGAGTTTGGGCAAGGACACAGGGGCCCCATGATCCTTTATTGCCCGGGGGGCCCCATGAGTTGTCAGTCCGCCCCTGTATATACTGTATATATATATATATATATATATACATACAAACAAATGTTTTGCCTTTCATTTTTATTTTAAACTGAATGGGTTGTTTTAAAGGTAAGAGTTCATATATACTTTAAATATTCTAGCAATTTTTCCGATCTGTCCCCAGTGACTGTGGCTGTACTGTGGCTGTGGTATAAACGGGGCATCATTGCTCTCTTATCTCCTGATCCCTCTCCTTTATCACCCTTATTTGATAACCCTGCTCTTTCTCCAGGGTTGGGCAATTCTACTATCGGTCCCTTTATGCGTGCCTCCTGGCCTGTAGCTTTATTTGCCCCCGGTCGGGTCTCCCGCTTCTTCAGGGTGGATCTAAGGATTGGTTGACCACTTTACATCTATCCTCATTTTGCAAACACTTATATTCTTCCTCCCTCACCCATCACCCACTTTCTGAGTTTGAGCAGTTGTGCTCCCTCTCTGACCTGCCGAGACATGTTCTTGCTTCCCTCTACAACGTGTTACACAAAGCTCTTCATTCCGAACTCCCTCCTTACACCAAGGCATGGGCTCAAGACCTAGGTAAAGATGTCTTGGTGGCGGACTCATCCACATCACTCCTCTTCACTCATAAATCGTCCATTTCTTGCTATTCCCAGGAAAAAACTTTAAGCTCCTTTATTGCTGGTATAGGGACCCCCTCTCCCTGCACAACATTTTTCCCTCTACACCTAATCTCTGCTGGTGCTGTACTAAAGTTGTTGGTACACAGTTCCATATTTGGTGGGATTGTGACCAAATACAACCCTTCTGGCGACAGGTTTTTGCGGTGTATAACAGGGTCTATGGTGAGTCCTTGGCCCCTGCGCCAGAGATTGCTCTACTCTCTATATTACCGGGCAATGCAAAAGAAAATTCTGTTGTGCTTTTTTCTCTCTGTGGCCCCTTTGATACCCCTCTTTTGGAAAACAGCCACCCCCCCCCCCACCTCTTCCGATGTGTGTTTCTGTGCTTAATGATATCATGCTTATGGAGGAAATGCTGGCGTTTGCCAATGATACCTATGATAAACATAAGTTACTGTGGTCAGTCTGGCTCTATTTCACCTCCTCTTCAACTCTCCGTGAGATGTGTTCCCCTGTCATGCCCTGATAGAATTGTGCTTTGCTCCCCCGATAAATTTTTTTTCTCCTGCGGGGTCCGCCAGTGTGGCGAGCTGCACCAGGTGTGGTTGGCGGGATCACCTCGGTGGGATACTGGTAGAGGACAGCCTTGGTTCTGCTTTTTGCCGTTCCCGTCTCCCGACCCCCTTTCTTCTCATCTTTCTCTATCTCTACAACTGACTTCTCTTTTTTCTTTTCTCCTTATATTTTCTTTTCTTTTTTTTGCTGTTTGGGTTTATACTCTTGATCATGCAGAGGTATCTAATTTCGTTCCTTACATCTCGCTGGGGATGCCCCCTCGAAACTCTGTTTATTCATATCTCCATAATATGTGATACTATGTTATTGATGCTTCCATCTTTCTGTTGTATGGAATAATTTTCACCTACCCACATGGATCATCGTCACATCTGTGATGTGGTGTTTCTTATGTTTATCTACTTGTATTTGTTATAATTTTTTCTCATGCCTTGTTTTGTTAATCTGCTGAAAAAGTAATAAAGACAAATTTGCCTTTAAGTATTGAAGCAAAAGGCAATACTTTAATGGTAGCCTTCACTAATGTGGACCTGTTGCTTGTGCATTTCAGAATTTACTATTATGTGTTTACCCATGGTTGCAAACACTAATAGACAAACCCATATTCCATTACCACCCCAGGCTAATAAAATATTTGTAAACTGGTGGCCCTGAGTGGAAATACTCCCTCAATTAATCCTCAATCAGAGCAGGACCCACATTCAGTGAGAGCTACTGAACATTATACAGCTATCTCTTCAGGCCTGCTATCATACTGTCTTCCAGCACTGGCTTCTTTTACAACTCTGAGATGTTATGTGACTGAGTCCAGAGAACTGTGAAGCAATTATATGAAAAGCTGTACTACAATAAACCATGCTCTTTAAGAGAATCCCAACCTTCACCACGGTCAGTAGTTATTGTCTACCTGGACAATTATAATTACAAAATCACCAAAATACCCTGTCACATACTTACAGTTGTGCTCAAAACTTTGCATACCCTGGCAGAAATTGTGAAATTTTGGCATTGATATTGAAAATATGACTGATCATGCCAAAATATGCTCGTTTATTGAAGGATGATGATCACATGAAGCCATTTTTTATCAAATAGTTGTTTGGCTCCCTTTTAAATCATGATAACAGAAATCACCCAAATGACCATGATCAAAAGTTTACATACCCTGGAATGTTTGGCCTTGGTACAGACACACAAGGTGACACACACGGGTTAAAATGCCAGTTAGAGGTTATTGTCCCACATCTGTGGCTTTATAAATTGCAATTAGTGTCTGTGTATAAAATAGTCAATGAGTTTGTTAGCTCTTACGTGGATTCACTGACTAGGCTAGATACTGAGCCATGGGGATCAGAAAATAACTGTCAAAAGTCTTGCATAACAAGGTAATGGAAATTTATAAAGATGGAAAAGGACATAAAAAGATGTCCAAAGCCTTGAATATTCTTGGTTGGTCTACCTGTACTTGGCTTGTTATCAAGAGATCCCCGAACTGTCCGCTTAATAGGTGATTTAACAGCACTGATTGGCATATTCAAGGCTAATCAAAAATCAAAAATCTAAGCACTTGTTACAGTAGGTGATATGGAAATACTGTAACAGTGGAAGTCTATTTCTCCCATCACTCTCTTTTCTCTTTCCCTTTCCTTTACTTTTGCTCTGGACTTCCAGTCCAGCTGTATTGTGTTGTTTCCATTGCCTTTAGTGTTTATGGTGAGTAGGCCCTGCCCACAACCATACAGACCAGTCTATCTGTTGTCAGTGATGTCTGTGTACAGACAGATGTAATATCACAGTGCTATGTGTTAATATGTATAAGCACTTCCTGCCTCTGGAGGGATGGCGTAAAAAAAAACAGAAGGAGGAAGTTGAGAGAGAGAGGAACTGGCACCACATGTCCACATACAGGAGGTGCAGTACTTTATTTTATCCAGACTGGAAGCAGAGACCATTAGGTAGTTGTTCCCTGTATTCTGGCTGGTTAACTGTAGCTGTCCATAGCTTCTTGATCTGAATTCTAGTGACAGACAAGTCTCTGTACTAATGTTATCTCACATGTGCAGTGCCAGATAGCTAGGTCTGTGCTACTGTATGTACTGTATGTAGTGCTCAGATTTCAAGATATTAGTAGGTGAATCTTTTTATTGCAATAGATATATTTATATGCAGTTCCTGTTATTTTAGTTAACCCTGCTCCTTCTAGTCTCGGATTCTATAGCTAGTTTTAACTTAGGGCTCGAAAACTAGCATAATCTAGAACAAGGTTTGTCATCTGATGGTCACTTCTGGTAGTTAGAGAAGTGTTTCTCAACCTCTTTCACCCTATAAATTATTCACAATTTTGAGGCATCCCTAAAAGTTTTAAATTTTAGCAGCAACATCCACACACATAGGATACATGGGCTCAGTGTCTTTCCAGGAGTGGATTGTACCAGGCCAGGGGAGTGCACTTTGCCTCCCCTGGCACCTACTGCTTGAGTGTGCGACCTGAGGGCCTGAAGAGAGTGAGAGAGTGACCTTGGTTCTACAGAGAGCTGGCCAAGGGGGTGTCTATTAAGGTGTCTAGTCTGGTATCATGGAGAAGAAGCTGTTCTGTTGGGTCTTGTCAGAAAAGACATGCTAGGAATCTTGTAGACTGTTGTTCTTAACCCCCCCCCCCCCCCCCCCGATGTGCTATAGTCTGCTAAGGGTCCAGCCAAGGGAACAATGACTAGTGTTCCAAAGAGCTCTGTCCAGTTTGCACAGCCACTCAGGGTCTTTGCTCAGTTTTACTGCTACTGTCATTACTAACTCCAAGGTGAAGTCATCTATCTTCTCCCAGCAAGGACTACACCAAAAGCTCAACCAAAGATCAGATAGAGTCCTCAGTTGTATATAGTTGTATTCTTGGAGTATCCTACTAAATCCCCCTCCACCTATCCAAGTTCTCCAACAATAAAACTACGAAACAACAACTCCAGGACTGATCATTGAAGACAACGAGTGAAAGTGTGTGCACCTGGCTGTGAAGCAACCTTCTGCCTTACTGCTAGACAAAATTGGGGAAGACCTGGGCAAAACTCTAGCGACTCCTACGGGGGTACAGCTACATTTATTCAATAATTAGTATAATGAAATTTTGCTACCACCAGAGTTTTTTAGAGAGCACACTACAGGTATTGTGTTTGCAGATCACCGCACCACTTACACTTCTAAACATGGAGTGTGATAAATTGACAAGGATGTTTTTCCAAGGTAGTGAAGGTTCATTGGTAACAAAGATAGCTTACTGTACACAGCCCTGTTGGCAACAGGGGACAGGGCTGTGGTCCAGTGGTCTCAAAAATAAGATAGTTAAAACCCTTATCTGTAGTGGGTAAAATATACCTCCTGACTTTCTGAGATGGCAAAGAGGAACACCAATTTGCAAAAATTTGTAGGCACATCATGATTACATGGAGAATTAATACACAGAAAATGATTGGTTAAACCAACTGTAGCTTTTTTACCAGTAGTTTTCTTTTATACTCGCTTTTGAAATTAACAAATACAATAAGTTACATGGAAGGTTTAGCCCAATAAAACACTTTTGATAGTTAAAAAGTAATTTTTTTATAGAGGTCTATACATCAAACAAAAAAGAGGGACAACTGAGGAAGAAAGAGGGACAGACGTATTTTCTTTCAAATCAGGGAGATGGGAGCTTTGGGTACAGGGTGCTGTGATCACCAGTGACAAGAGTCTTAGAGGAGCTCACCCGTACATGTTTCGGGTACAAAGGTATTAAAGGGGCAGGTCCCAGGAGTGTAGTAAATAAGTGAGACCTGACCTCTGTTTTACAGTGGGTTCAGTAGATC